TTCAGTAGAAATTTTCCATCCAATGTTGAAAGTTGTTCTAAAAACATAATTGAATTGTCTCTGAGTTGATTTTTGAACTGTATAAAACATGTACTTTACTATGCTCATGAGGAATTTGTCCACTATGACCATTTCTAAATTTAGGAAAAATATTACCAAATTTAGACTAACTCTTGACTATCGTATCTAAATTTGGCAGTAAGAAAACTAAAATCACGTGAAGACCTATTTTTTGAAAATTTTTATTACAAAATTGCTATTTTGAAATTTGGTCACATGGTGCAGCAATAGGAGGTCTTTAGACCGAGCCAACCATCATCAGGAAAATAAATCTCATGTAAACCTACGCAGGATTTAAAACTGACCAGCATTATGCGGAAATGTTAACATAATGCTGGCCAATTCTGAACCCTATGTAGGTTTATGTAAGATTTATTTTCCTGATGATATAATAATAATATTATGGTAGGGGAGTGTATATATATATTTCCAAGAGGAATAGCCTCATATAAAGTTAATTTGGAATTCATTTTGTGAATTATTATTTATTATATTTACTTTATTCTAATAAAATTATATGAGCAGGGTATTGCCTTTATTAAAAAAAAAAACTAATAAAATTGGCAACTATTATTATGAAAAACCATTATAAATATTAATATATATTTTTTTATCAATTGTTCTTTTAGAAAATGTAAAATTAAGAAGAAAAGGAAATAGTTCAGGAGCTTCTCATGAGTAAGTATTGTTAGAACATGATTGTCTCAAGAACTATTCTAGTTTAAAAAATTAAAAACATGTTATAATTATATGGAATAGATAATAAGATATAAGGAAAAAAATAATAATATCAATTAGAATTCACATTTTGGTTGCTTGCTTTCTGACTAGATACCCATGATTTAATTTGTGAAAGAGAAGGAATATTATTGGCTTCTATTCTTTTAATTTATCTTCAGCCTACTTTTTTCTATATCACCTGCCAAAAACATGGCTTTCAACTGTTCAATTACATTTATATTGAACTTCTTGCCACCTTTTTTCCCATGCTTTTCAAAACAAATCCAGGTTTTAATTTTTCATTTAACAATATTTTCAATTTTCAGCATTTCAAATTCATTTATTAAAAAAAGCAAATTTTGGCCAACATGCTTAATCTGGAAGAATTTATTATTTTTAAATGGGGGAGGGGAATGAGCTATTGTCTAAATATTCCCTCAAGTCTACGAAATAGGATCTAAACTTTATGATATGAAAGAAAGTTCTAATGGTAATTAAGATCAAAAATAATATTATATATTATCCTGAGTTATGAACTTCAAATCGGTTGCAGACACCAACTTTAAAATAGATCATAAGAAATTAGATACAGTATTGATGAGGTTATTTAATACAACTAATTAGGGTAATATTATATACAGAAAGGTTCTTTTTGTGAAATATACAGAACCTATGTGACAAATAAGGATTAATTTTTAGAGTTGGTAAACACTGTGTAATTCCTGCTACCCCCAGCCCACAAATTTAATCATCACGTCTGTGATAAATGTCACATTGGTTTTACAAAAATTTTGAGCTACAATTTAGTTTCCTTTTTTATAGAATGAATTGCTATTTTTGGTAGGGTTCTGTATATTCCATAAAAAGAACCTTTCTGTATATAATATTTTCCTTAAAATATTTACTATCTTGTAAATACACCTGGGGGTTTAAGTAATAAAATAAAAATTGAAAACCATTATTTTAAAATATAAAATTTTTTATTATTAAAGTCATTTCAAACACAACCTCTTTTGGCTACACTATACATACATTAATAATCATTATCATAATTTATTCAATTACTCAATTTTCCATCAAGTGGTTTGTTAATTGCAAAAATGAAATGTTTTGAGCAATTTTTCTGGCACCTTTGTCCTGCAGTTTAAAGTGATATTACCATCATTCACAATATCATAATATCACCATGATACTCTATATAAAAGCTTCTTACCTGGTAATAGCATCAGTAATGTTATCAAATTTACGTTTGTTTCTCTCTTCAATTATTTTTGAAGCAAATTTTACACCTATACCAGTAATTGCTGTCAAATGGGAAAAGCTAGCACTATTGATATCAGGTCTCTCTAGCTCCGCATAATGAAAAGCCCTTCCAACAAAGGGACCATCCACAGTTTTCAATCAACTATTGCTGACCTTAATGGAAGCTGAACAATATTAGATGACCCATGTGTAAATAAGATGAAAATATCCTGATCACATGCTGCTTTTTCATACTCTACATTAAATTCTTTCTGATCTATTGAAGCATTTTTCAAAAGCTTACATTGGTAACTTTCAAAACAAAGCTGTGATGTGCCAGTGAAATAAATAGGACAGAAACAGTCACCGGACAGAGCTCCAGTAGCATTGATAATACAGTGCAAGGCTTCTTTAATTTTCACATTACCGTTTTCACACATTACATTTGTGGTACTATCACTTGATTTGGTGCTTACTTTGTTGACAGCCTTTTCAAGTAATAATGGCTTATTTGTGATTGTTAAATTGTAAAAATTATGTTTTGCTCCTTTGTGAAGCTCTTCCAACAGAACATTGTCCCCATAACCATACAGCTGTGATTTGAGTACACGAAACCTAGAAATGAAATCTTCAAAATGTTGCCAATATTGGTATCCTGATGGAACAGTCAGTTCATCCATACTTTGACATTCTTGATAGTATTGGAAATTCCAATTACTAAGAATAGGATCATCTGACTTGTTTGCCATTATCCAAATCCATATGTAAGGACAAGACAATCGTCCTTGATCGGTTTCTCCCTCATCATTCATAAACTGAACCAGTCCCAATTGTGAGAGTTCTGCAATTCTGATTTCTGTTTCAGGGATGATGAAATTCTCATGTATAGTTTTCTGTGACAATATTATCTGAAGGACTGGTTTTAAATAGATGCTCTTACAAACCCATTCACTATAACGGTCAACAAGTCTCACACGTATCTCATTCATTAATTCTGCAAAGTTGCAATTATCCAAGTCTTTACCTTTGATGGCTATCTCAAGTGCCTCTAGAGCTCTACCATGCCCGCCCATGTCATTAACAAGCATATTTAGAAGAGGTTTGTTTGCAAAAACGGGCTTTCCTTGTCTTTGTGGAGGGTTTAAAGAGTGTATAGGAAGATAGATTTTTTGATGTGAATATGCAACAACTTCATGGAAAGGGCGACTGAAAGTTGCTGTGCAACAATTAATGACAAATGGACCCATATAAGCAAGAAGAGATAATTCAGTCATACAGGAATAAAATAAGGAAGACTTGTCCTTTCCATCATTTGGTGTTATCATTGCCATTTGCAATCCATCAATAATAATAATGACAGTTAGATCATTAAATTTCATGCCCTTAGAAATCCTCTGTAACACATCAATTGGTGCAATTTCCTTATATTTATCACGTACTTCAAGCCAATTCTCAGATTCCATGAGTTGAAACAACATTCGCTTGCCAATAGCATTACTGGCAGACTTCTCCACATTCAGATCAATTGCAGTGCCATTCTCAAATGAAAGATTGAAGACCATAGCATTATCAAGACGTTCCTTCAGCTCTTGCAGCTTCTGATCATCAACAAATAAACTGCACAAAATCTTAGATAATTCAGTTGCATTTCGAGATTTTCCTCTTCCAGCACTAGAGGCCATAAAATAAAGTGGGGTATTCGATTTGTCTAACTTTGTTGTTTTATATGTGTGATAGTATTCAACTACAGAACATTGCAACTTCTCTACCAAATTAATCGATGGCTGGTAATCCCATGATAGTCCTTCCATGTACAATAATGGAGAGGGAGGTTTATACTCCAAGTCATCAGGCAAATTATGTACTATGTGATAAATAGATGAAAATAACACAAAACGTTAGTTAAATAAATGTTATAAAAGATAAAAAATAAAAAAGTAGTTCAAATATTCCACAGACAAATAAATCAATAAACAAAACGAATAGATATTAGTCAATGTTCAAATGGTATACAAGTGAATAAATAAACGAAATGGAATGAATGAAAAATAATTTTTTTTTTTACGCAATTTGTTCATTACCTTCTTCTTTATTAAATTTCGTTAATTCTTGTTGTAGAAATACCACCTGATCTCCCCATCTCTTCTTCTCCGCCTCCAACAACTTCTTCTCTTCTTTCATCGCCTCTGGTCCCCACCTTTTCTCAAACTTCTCTAAATTTTCCTCCTTCATGAAATTTTCCAAATTCTTCATTGCCTCATCCAATCTCACCTCTGCTTTTGTTGATTCTTGTTTGATTTCTTCTTTTGTTACCATTTTTTAAAAAACTAAAAGATTTAAAATTAATTTTTTTAAAAAATTTTTTTATTTTTATTGATTTAGATAGTTAATTGTTTCTAGAAATAATTTGGACCAATGATAAATTAGTGGGCACATGACTTGCAATTAAATTTTTTTTTTTACGGACAAATGAATTAAACGACAAAAGAAAATTATTTTTATTTTAATTCAACTAATAATAGAAAAACACATAAATAATTTATAAAAATATAAGTTAAAGTCAGAGCACTTGCATGGGAGGAAAATACTCGGACCTAAAGCCATTTGTAAGTATTACCTATTCTTTGGGCACTCTGACAAAAATTCAACTTTCACTATTACTACTATTTTTATTATTATCAATAATGTTATTATTAATATTCATATTTTCTTTGTTTTCATCATCTTTGTAATCTTCGCTTTCCACTTCTTTCTTCTTTTCTTTGTTGACCCATTCTTGAATTGCTTCTATCATTTTTCTTCTAGGATTTGTTTTTCGTTGATGGAAATTTTTTATTGTGGAAGTAGCAACTCCTTTTCCTTCTCCAAGTAATTTGCGAATTTCGATGACCATTTCACTGAATGAAAAATCGGGATTCAATCCAGTCTTTTTGTCAAATAATTGTTTGAAATCCTTCCATAGATTTTCTATTTCTTGTGAATATTTTTTATCATCAGTAAGTTGGTTATTATATTTTTGAATTGGCTTTTTCTTGGTTCTATTTTATTGATTATTTGATCAATTTTTTGATTTATAATATAGAATTGAGTTTTATAGTGAAATAAGAAACCAATGAAAACTCCAATCAACAACCTGCAAAAAAATTCACAATTGAATGTAAGCATTTTTTTAAAAAATGTTATTATGGATGAAAATATTTATTTATTATTTGTTTGTTTTCTAAACCAAAATAAAATTGTCCTTGAATGTAGTAGAATTTGTTCAAAAACTCAAACAACATTTTTTATTGATTAAATTTTGCATAAAGGAGAATTTTCTTTGTAGTAAAAAAAAATAAATCAATATCATAATAATAAAATTATTTTCCTTTTAAGGATTTCTGCTTTTTGTTAGGTGATAATGCATCATTATGATGCTTTTATTTATTATTTTTCTTTCTTGCTAAATTTCATAGGCAATCCTTTCTTTTTTTAGATAAGTTTCAAGTCTCTGAGTATCCTTTATTTTGAAAATGCAAGGAGCAATTTTTAATAACAATTGATTCAATTGATTTTTTAAATTAATAAATACTTACTAATGGTAACTACAATAAAACAATGCTTTTCTTAAAATGTAAAATAAACAAAATTATTATTATTACTGTACAATAAATGTTTATCACGTGAAAAAAAAATACTTCCCAAAAAACCAAAGTTTTAAAAACAGAGCATTGTTCACTCCTTTCATTTCACCTATCTCATACTCATTAAACATTAAGAAATAAAACATGGCACAAAATTGGGTTGATTGTGCCAAAAACCAAAAAACCAAAGTATAAACTTATTGTAAGGAGTAAACATACTTGATTCAAGGAGTCAATGTACTTGTTACTTTTACAGGCGTGATTGTGAATATTTGAAATCGATTTTGGGGTGGGTGACACGAGATTATTAATAAACAAAAATAATAAAATTTACCACGCGTTGTTATAATTATTGTTCTTTGCTGATTCAAGTTATTAATTATTATTAATGGATTTCTATATATGTTAGCCGAATTGATTTTCTAAATACGTCAAACTCTTCCTCAACCACCAATGAAATTGCAGCGCGTGTATTTTTGAGGAGTGTTAATATTTTGTAAAGATGAATTCTTTGCTAATTTGAATCACCAACTTAGTATATGTGTGCACATGAAAATTAAATTTATGTAAATTTGCAATTCACATACACAAAATTCAAATTAGCCAAAATTTTAATCATATCTACAAAAAATCCTTATTAGTAAAAATAAAAAAAATAGGATCTTTGTTTACTTCACAATATCTTTTATAAACAATGTAGTAACAGGTGATAGGTCTACCACAGGGTCCACCACATACATAGTGAAGAAGTCAGGAGTCAGTGGTTCAAAAGTGTTCAATTATGAAGTCCTAAAATATTATAAAAAATAAAATTTCTTTGACTGTAGGCAGACTTGCAATAGAATGTGATGAAATAAACATAAAGAAATTTTATCTTTAATTTCTCTGTTAAAATTATATGCTAATAATATTTATTTTTTCAAGGTTGCCATCGTCCAACATACAATTTTGAATGTTTCTTTAACTTGTTAATATATGATCTCCCTATTTCACTATCATCTGAAAGCCAATTGATTCAAAAAGATAATGAAAACGTCCTTCCTAAACAATTAACTATTATTGTTGAAGAGACCAGTACCAACAATAAAAAAGTGCCAACAAAAAGTAGACTAATAACTTTTTTTATTTATACATGTAATGTGTACACAATATACATCAAATGTTACAAATGATAAGAAAAAACATTTGTAATAATAATCAATAATTTCATATGTTTAGGGAGATTGATAATTTGCTATGATAGTGTGAAAATGCTAATTGTGGTCCAAAGTATGTAATAGTTGATATGAGAGGAGAACTTTGGAATTAATAAAAATATTATCATTACATCATCTTCAGATAGAAAATGTCAGAGTGAGCAAATATAATAAATATTTTCATTTTTCTATGGCTATTTTGATTTGTGAAACAGTAAAATCCTTTTTAAAATAATCATTTATAATTGTACAACAAACAAGCCATTTTCTACCTAAAAAAAAATGCATAATTTTCCACCTGAACTCCTAACTGAAACATTCAAATACATTGAAAATGATGACTATAAAACATTATATTCTTGTATTCTTGTCAACAAGCAATGGCACAATATTAATATTCCAACTTTATGGAGAAATTCATTGGCTAGAAGCAGCATCAAAATTATAATTAATTGTTTAATGAAAGAAGATAAGAATTTCTTGACTCAAAATGACATCAAATTAGATTTTGAACTATTGGAGAAACCACCATTATATAATTATGCTAGATTTTGTACTAGACTTGTTTGTTTCAATTTTGGATGGCTGCTAAAAAACATTAGTGCATCATTTAGACTTACACAAATTTTACAAAATAGATTAATAAAATTTATTTTAGATCATTCAGTGGGTATTAGAGAGCTTAGTTCTAGATGTACATATCATAAGTTGTTAATTAATCATCATAGATTTGACAATATCTTTCAGAATCTTTATGAATTACATTGTGATGATTTTGTTCATGGCAAGTTGCTTGATGAATTAGCAAAGATTTGTAAAAATATTCAATCATTAAAAATACCTTATGGTAGTGGCAAAAATGCTCATAGTTTAGCACAGCTAATTAAGGCACAAAAGCAAATTAAATATTTAGTAATTAAAACATGTATTTTATCAGGTGAAAATAGTTTACAAAGTGAATTGAAAGAAGCAATATTAACACATTCACGATCAATAACCTTTTATGAATCTACTAGTGGAAGAACAAATTCAGACAATTCATTAATAACATCATTTAAAAATTTAAAGGCTTTATCATTAGAAAATGTTGATAATGGACTAAAAAATTTGATAAATATTTCACTGCCATATATTGAATCTATGAGGTTACATAATACATATCAATCATCTGTACCAGTCTTGTGTAATTTTATTAATACCAATGGAGGAACTCTTAAACATCTGTATGCTGATAGTAATGGATTTTGTAACAATAAAACAAATATCAGAGTTGCAATGAGGCTATTTCAATCAATCACACAAAATTGTAAAAATTTAGAAGATTTATCCATATTTTATGATAATGAATTAGACCAGAAATTAATGGAATTACTAAATAGTTGCACAAAGTTAAAAAGGATTAATTTTGATAATGCTCATCTTTGTTCTGGTGATAAATTAATAACAGTATTAAATCAAACACTACCAAAAAAATTAGAGTCAATAATTTTTACTCATGGAGTTTTTTCTGATATTGGTGACTATTCACTAGCTATTCTAATGAAAAATTGGAGAGGACCCAAACCTGTAACAATGAAAATTTATAATTATAATGACTATGCATTATTAAAAAAATATCAAGATTTAGGGTTTTTAAATATTTAATGTAATTTTTTTTTATTTATTATTATATTTATTCATTTAGTTATTCATACACAATGTTAACTGATATTATTTATTTGTAGTTGGAAATTAATGGCATAAGGTGGTTTTTGTCAAATTACACAGTCTTGATGGTTATTAATTGATATTTCATGTAAAAAGAGCTTGAGTCTTCTCAGTTCTGAATATAAATAACATTTTTACTATATAAATAATTATCTCGATTTAACAATTATAACATATGCCATGATAACTTGATCAACTGTGATGGTTGGCCTGTAAATAGTTTCAGTATTTGTATGTGTGAAAGGTCTAGTTGTAAATGGACATGCAAGTTAAACTGAATACTGTACAAAATTCGATATTGACAATATTTTGCGCTGTTCCTTGAAAACTGGTAACAAATTGAAATACAGTGCCTGCCTCTATGAGGGCTGTGCTTGTGCCCTTGATGGTTAAGATGGAAGTTTGACTTGGAACAACTGAGAAGGTTGATTTTGTATTTAGTAAAGGTAATTGGAAAGTGTTTTCCGTCACATGTTGTAAAATCCTTTTTTACAAATAAAGATAAGGGAGTAAGGAAATAATAATTGGAAAAAACGAAAAAAAGAAAAAAGAAAATGCTAAACAAATCAATAACTCCGCAAAATGTAATGCTTCTCTCCAACCAGTTTCATTATTTTTAAATTTGCCTCTAATAGGTTCTGCCAAATCTTTCAATGCTATATTGAACATTGTTTAGCTTGTTTAATATTCAACATTTCAGAATAACGAAATGAATTTGAAAGGCAGTCATACTAACAATTAATGAAGTTTGATCATATTTTGAAAAATTGTATAGTTCCTCATAAAGAGAAACTGACTGTTGAGTCCTTATAGAATTGGTAAAATTTTCAAGGATGACATCTCGTCAACGTTTAACCTTAGATGGTTCTGATCCTTCCAACTTACAAAGTCTACATTAACAATTTATACCAAATGATTCTTGCATCATTTTTCATATGGATCCCAACAATGATTTAAAAACAGCTTTTCCCCTTTTGAAACTGATCAGGAAGTTCTTAAATCATCAAATACAATTTTTCCAATTCTATTGATATCTATTAATTGCAATGCATTCTTATCATGACATATATAAAACTAATTTAACAAGTTAATAATGACAACATAATATCATTGAATCAGAAAATATGAATACAGAATCTGAAGTTTAGGACGGAAAGATGGAAAAGAGATGGCAAGTCATGAAAAATTAAAATGAATTAATCGAGAAGGTAAATTAATAGTAAAAGATGAAGACGAAAATGAAAAACTAGATGAGTATGATGAACTTAGAGGTGTGTTGTGAAATAGCAATGGGTGGAGATAAGATATTGGAAAGAGCTTTAATTAATCAATCATACAAATTATTCATTTATATAAAAGGGAACATAAAAAAGTCCAAATTAATTAAAGAGGAGATGTTAATTGAGCATGAAAAAAAGCCAAGTCCACGCTAATATTTAAGCTAGCCTTTTCTTTTAACTGTTGTTAAAAGCTCCAAAAAATTTATTATGGTTGAAAATCACTTGCTATATGAAAAACGGAGATTTTTTTTTTGTAACGTTTATATTGAATGACACTTGATCTGCAATGTCTCGCGACTAGTATTAGTGGAATGGCACTATCATAAAAATGTTTATTTTTTTCCCACAAAAAATTCAATGTTCTCTCTTCTCTATATCATCAACAAAAAAATTGGTACAAAACAATTTCGGCAAGCAATTTTGGGTCTACAATACTCTTTATATCAATAGACATAAAATAACCACCCAGAATTTCGGCTATTGAGTTACAGTGTTCAAATAATTTTGGATATAATTTCGATAACCAATAAAGTTAATTTCGGCAACTATGAAAAACCATTTCGGCATTTCGGATTCATTTATTAAAAGAGCAATTTCGGCTAACATGCTTAACATACACCTGTGCCTACTACAGCTACAATACACACTACTTCTTTTTTTCCCATTTCTTCATTATCATTTCAAAAAATTTATACATATGCAAACACATACGCATACATGAATATGCAAAAATTAAAAATTTTAACATCTATTTTTACTATTATTATAGTGTCAAAGCCTTCCAGGGTGGGGTTAATGAATTAGTATCCTACTCTAACGACAGATTTTAAATCTCGAGGAGGCGGGTGCCAGATTTCTTAGGGATTTCTGGACTTGTTAATGGTCGTTCTAGTTCTTAAAGTTGTTGTTATTTGCATTAAATGAGAGGGTACGATGGCTGACAGTTCTATTCTTGATATGGTTTGATAATAGACTACATATAAAACTATTAAGCAAATCATTCGTTTAGTTACCTACGCTGTACAACTCTTTCAGTGAATATCAACATTTATCGGGGCTCTGTGTCTGATCGTTGGGGATGGGGGATGGGATAACGTTTGAAGGTGCTATCCTTGATGTGGTTTAATAATAACTCTATATAAAGTTATTAAGTAAATCATTCGTTTAGTACCCGCGTTGTTCTCTGAACTTGGCCTGCGGTTAGCATTTGAAGGTCTGGTCGTTGTGATTTGATTGGTTTATCTGGTCAAAAATCAACGGTTCTATTGGATTTCTGGTCGGCTGATTTCTAGGTTAACAGATTCCTTAATTTTACTGGATTTCTGGATTTCTGTGTAATAGGGTGATTATTAATTCTATTCTATTCATTCAATTTATTTTGAATATGCGTGTGTGTTTGTGTTTGAGAAGCTTTGGATTTTGATCATAGCTAGCAGAGGAATTAAGACATTACTATTTAAAGACGGAAGGATGCATGGATAAACTGGCTGTAATGATATTGGTATAAACATCATTATTATCGAAATTTTTATTTATACATGTTTATATTTGTATATTGTAAGGGATTTTTTTATTTTGGACAAAGCACATGTAACTTGGTTGAAATTATTATAATTTTGTTAATAAAACAAATTTAGAGGAATTATATATTGATGCGGGCATAATTAATTCAATACCAAAAAAAAAAAGATCCAACAAATGAATATACATAACCTTTGATATTATATCATGGAATAAATATTCAGGCGATCTCATTTAACCAAATACCAATTTTTGTTACCAATCCGACTGTGACAAGCATATGGATTTGAGCAACATTTATTATTATTATTAAAAAAAAAAAAATCTTGTTCTTGTTGACATGGAAGTAGAACTTAAACAAACCTCTGAATGGTCTAAGCTTGAAGAAAATACTCCAATCTCTAAGAGCAATATATGGGACGAAACATCTAGAGACTCGGAAGATTCAGTGACAGAAACACCACGCAAACGAAATGGATGGGATGTTACTCCTCAAGTTTCAACAAAGAAATCTCGTTGGGATGAAACACCTACTCATCCAGAAGCTCAAATTAGAGCCACACCTGTTGTGAATTTGGAGTTAGTGACTCCTACTCGTGCCTATGACGCCTGAAGGTTTGTTTCATAAAAACGAATTTTTTATTCAATAATATATTTAAGCATTTCAATAATTACAAAAGAGTACAACTATGGGAAAAAGATCTAGATGCACGTAATAAACCTTTATCAGATGAAGAGCTTAATGCAATGTTTCCTTCAACTGGTTACAAAACTCTGTAACCACCATCAGGATATGTACCGATCAGAACTTCTGCTCATAAATTAAGGGCCACACCAACACCAATGGTAGGCAAAAGTTAACCTCCAGAAATACCAGATGTTGGTAACTTGCCATTTTTTAAACAAGAAGATAAGCAACACTTTGGTAAATTATTAGAAGATAAAGGTGAAAGTGAATTACCTGAAGGAATGCAAGATTATGAGATTACTTCTTAAAATAAAAAATGGAACATCTACAATGAGAAAAACTGCACTTTGACAAATCATGTATAAAGCTAGGGACTTTGGAGCTGGAGCACTTTTTAATCAGATTCTTTCTCTATTGATGTCTCAAAATTTAGAAGATCAAGAACGTCATTTACTAGTTAAAGTAATTGATCGTATTCGTTATAGGCCGATGCTTTGATTGTCCATATATCCATAAAATTCTTGCAGTCATTGAACCGCTTTTGATTGAAGAAGATTATTTTGCAAGATGTGGTTAGTAATTTTTATTTTTTTTCCTTCTTTAGAGTTCGTGTATTCAGGCAAGAGATACCACAAATTGATTGTTATTTAATCAAATTATTTATTGAAAATTAATAATTTATTGTTATACTGATTATTATTATTTGAATTTTATATAAAATAGAGGACCGTAAAATTATAAGTAACCTAAGTAAAGCTGCCGGATTACCAAAGATGATTTCTACAATGAGATCAGGTACGTACATACACATATAAATATAATACATGCACATATTTTAATAAAATATAATACTTTATTTATTAATTATTTATATGATAAAAATACATAATAGATATTGATCATGTTAATGAATATGTTAGAAACACCACAGCAAGAGCCTTTTCAGTTGTGGCACCTGCACATGGAATCCCTGCATTATTATCATTTTTGAAAAGCGATATGTAAAAGTAAAAAATCATGGAAAACCAGACATACAGGAATAAAGGTTGTTCAAACAAGTAGCTATTTTGATGGGATTTCCATATTTATATTATTTGATTGGATCAGTGTTGATTATTTTACATATTATACAGATAACTTTTTTTTTTATAAACGTCTATATATTGGTATATTACACTTTGTACAATTTAATTATTGTAATTGGACTGGGTTGGATAAACATTCTGCCGACATTGCAACTTTTCACATCACAACGTCAATGAAAACAGAGTTTGGTGGTTTGGTGCAGGCAAGAACCACTTTAAAAATGCCATATATTAATTAAAAAAAAAACAAGGTCACCACTCCCCACAAACTTTTATTAGTCCAAAGGTAAAACCAACCAGCAAGAAAAATTTATGATGACAACGAATATACTTGTTGGTATTAATTTAATTAAAAAAAAAACAATGATTGCAAAAACAACACAATCAGTCATTGACCGAATGCAAAGAGTAGAAACTCCAGCAGAATCTAGTATAATTCGAAACCTCAACAAAATAACGATAAAATTTTAACCAATGAACATGTTTCTATCATACCCAGAAAAATAAAATGACAAGGAAAAAAAGAAGACATAGTAAATCATCTATATACAATTCAATAATTTAAACATGCGTCGTTTAATAATGATAGGAATCTCTTCTAGTCCAAGTCTTGCTCCTAGCACCTCCACTGAATCTTCCAATAAGTCACGATCGCCTAGTTATTAAAAGCGTTTCGGGTAAATTTATTAATAGGATTTGGCACGCGTTATTGGTTGGAATGTTATTCATTCAATGGCATGGCTGTGAAAATATCATTAAAAAAATTGATATTGAAATTTCTGTGATCACCATAATAAATAATAATAAGTCAAAGAATCAAATTTAAAACATTTGGAAAAATCATAACCTTTCCCACGAAAAAAGGCCCCCATCCTCTATATTATTTAATCCTTTCCTTGAATATGAGCACCATTGTTTCCACTATTGTATCGTGTCTATTAGAATATTCACGATGATTATGCAATGCGTATTATAATAATTGCATCGTTCAAGTATAAATGATACTAGGACCATGCAAAAATAAAAATTTTAACATTTGGGATATAAAATCTTGATATTTATTTTTGTTGAGTTTTAATCTGATGGTTCCATTGCATCGTCGTCTAATTGGTTCCTTCTTTTTTGTGTATGTGTGTGTGTGCGTGCGTGCGTGTGAATACACGCCTCCCAATTGCAAGTCGTATATAGATCTGAAAATTTAAATGAATAATAAATCTGATTGACTATTTAGGGTGTCAGATTTAATTAAAATCTTCCTTTTACAAACATGCAACCGTATCTTCATATCCATGGAAATTCTTCAGGTAATAATATCAATGATTATTACCCTTAATAAACTCTTCCATGGGTAAAGTAGTTAGAACATGTTAGTAGGCTTTGATCGAATAAATGGCTTTAACAGCCATTATTCATTGAAAACAACTCGATTTCAAGGCTTTAACAGCGGTCATCGACAACAACTCAGCCTCAATAAATTTATAAATTTCATTCAGGGCCATGGCATCCCCCCCTGAACATTTAAATCGCGTCGTTGTATCTTCGGGGTCGTCAGTCAGATTAGCCTTTGTTACCCAGGAAGATAAGAACAACTGTAATTTTTAATAGTCAAATATCGTCTTTTGGTGTTTCCAGAGCAGGTTTTCCATCTTCAATACTTAAAAAAATATAATAATTTATTGAAAAATAGATATTATGACAATTGATTTAAAATGAGCAGATATAATGTTTTGAATAATAATAATATAGTTAGATTTAAAATAAAGTTGCTTTTTTTACCTTTTAATAATTAATAAACAAATATACCATTGTGATAAAGGAGCGAATATAACTGTCATTTAAAATTAAAGCCCTTACGTGGAGCAAAAACAAAAGGAAAGGGGTTACTCCTTAAAACAATAATAATAATTAATATTTTTATTATTGAGT